AAACCCCCCCCCCAAAAAAACCCAAAACCCCCCAGTTATCAATAGACTTGACAAATTAAGCATCTATGGAGATAGTATAAAAGTATTGTTAAACCTGTGCATTTGATTTGAAAGAAGTAAATATTTGCATTGTAGTTGTTTACAGTGGAAAAATAAATCAGAAATGGTTGAAGTTGGGGAGTCTGCATTTGAATGGTAGGACATGCAGCCTCAGCTTCTGCAGAAGTGGAGGTTTGCTTCAGGTGGTGGTTGTTTTGGGCATGTAGGGGAGGGAAAGGCAAGGCATCACCAAGAAATTATTCATGCATCTTGGAAACAGTATACAGGAATCAACTGTACAGTATAGTAACCATTTCTTCCTTAGTTGTTTCCACTTACTGCTATTAACCTACCTCCAACTGATCTGTGCTTCTTGCAAGATTTTTATATTCTCCCTCTTCTTGAGCTGTAGGTGACAACCTGAGTTGCCTCTTCAGGTGCAGAGGAGCTATGTACACTTAACAAGCCTTCCCTGGCTACCAGCAGCAGATGGAAGCCACCAAGCAGTTGACGTGCCTCTGCCCTTTCTCACATCACGCAGTTAACCGTGCTAGCCAAGACTTTGTCTGCATTAAGCTGACATGCCATCCCGAAGTAACTGACACTGGGTATAATACTTCCTGCTGGCTAAACTAAACTATCTCCCAATTTCCATACTGTGTGGTTTGGTGAAACCGTTGACACTTGGTGGTTCTTTAATGAGATCATTTTAAATGGCTGCTTCCCAGCTGGTCTTAGACTGTTTACAGCGGTCATGTCATATCTCTGCTTCACCCTTAAAACCCATCTGGCTGTGAATTATTTTGGGGAAATGGTAGCCTAATGCACCCAAATGTAAATGCTTTTTAGGGGATCCCCACATCCTTCACAGAAGATAATGCTCAGCACGCATCCCAGAAGGCTGTTTCCATTCCCGTGGAAAGCACATTGGTATTTCTTTAATTTCTGCAAAGACACTTTTACCTTTATTGGGATGGCAATAATATGCAAGAGTATCAGCCACCTAAAGAAACTCTGTGGATGGACAACTTCAGAAGATTAGTATGAAGCTCTAAGCAAGCCGTGAATTTCATACTAACGAAAAATAGTCTTACGGAATTATTTTATTCTAAGCCTAATTTTTGTAGTTCCTAATAGAGTCATAAGCTGTGTCTGTATATAGGCCCTCTGCTTACTCATATTCTGTAAAGCTAAATTAAAATGCAGTGGGCAGAATTGTTTCTTTAAAGTTACAGTAAAAACAATGGTTTTGGAAAAAAAGCAAAAATAGGATACACACTTTAAACATGTAGGGATAGTATTTGGCACCCTTTGAAACTTTATACCCAACTTACCTGAAATGGCATGTTTAAAATATGTAGTTGAGGTTTTCTCAGCAAACAGTATTCAAGCTCTCCTGTATGTGCAGTGAAAAAATTTGAAGCAACTTGGTTAAAAGTAAGGGTCATTTGAGAAACCCATTTCAAGTAGACTTTTTCTCACCCTGGACTTCTACAGTATCATCAGTTGCTGAAATTTTTTTTAATAAAACTGAAAAATCGTGCAAGTTGCTTTCCAGATATTAACTTGAAAATGTCTGTTGCTTTGTAAAACATCCCTGTGCTTTGTTTCTGTTCCTGACTTGAAAAACCACTGTTTTACAGCGATTATCTTGCTAACCTGTACACTGTGTAATAGGGGCATATGCTTTTTGATAGGCTTAAAATTACTTCTGCAGAAACTTGCTGGGGTTTGAAGCAGTCTGGCAAAGGACTGAGCTTTGTGCTGCGGTCCGGGATCAACTGTGATTTCCTTTCCTCTACCAAATGTTAGGAGAATTGGGCAGCGATCCTTCCTTCTGCTAAAAGAAGCTGCTGTGGGGCGATCTGCCTTCCATTCTCTTGGCGCTATGTGCCGCACGAGGTGGGCAGCGCGTCATTATTTGCCCCCCAAATAATTGACGCGGTGAAATTAAGGCACTTCAGGGAACATCTGTATAAATGTTTTGCTTTAGCTTTCTTAAATCAATCCGTTAATGAAAATGATTTTGCTTTAAGGAATTTGGGGAAATGAACCTTCCCAACTACCAGGCCTTTTGTACCCGATAAATGCCGGTTTCTGTCCATTCTCTGTAATACTACCCGACAACGCTGCCACTTCCCCAGGTAGTGTAGATGACTAAGACTCTTCCAATGCGCCCGTGTCGCAGCACACGTGGTGCTGGGGTACGGCTCTGGCCAGGGGAGTGCCCCGCCCTGCCCCACCCCGGCTGTACTTCCTGGTTGTCACCTGCTGGGCGGCCACTGGCAGAGTGGTGGGAAGGTGGCTGATGAGGCCCCGCCCTGCCCCGCCCTCACCACCAGTTAAGGGCGAGTCCCATCTGGCTGAGGGGCTGTGATAATTCCCAGTTTGGGAATTTTGGATTAGTTGAAAGGCGTGGTAACAAAAAGGGGCAGAGCACGGTGTGTTCTGTGTCCACAGAGAATTCTGTGGAGAACTCAAAAGTTCCGTTAGGCTTGTCCATTTCGAAGACGGGAAGCTTTTGTTTCAGTTCAGTACTGCCTTTGAACTGGATCGGAGGCTCGTATTTGTACGCGTGGCTACAAAACCGGGTTGGGTTTCCGAGGTGAACTTTATACGTGTTCATGACAAAGCAGCGGTTCGCACAGAGAACCTGTTCAGAGAGGGGTCGTGTGGGACGCCATCGCTGGGGTCTGGCGCTTCGCCCTTGTTCTCTCTGGGCTGACGTTCTGGGGTTTCGCTGTAATGGATCAAATAGCTTCAGCTAACTTTCAGTCAGAAGTAGCGGTTGTTGATGGCAGTAGTGCTTTTCTGACTTCCAGGGTCTCTCCACGCATAAAGCATCACCTGTTCCAGTGTCTTCTCCACGTGTGTGCAGTGTGTTTTCAAAGCCGAGGCTTACAGTTCATATTTACATATTACAATATATTTTTAAAAATTTGAGTGTCCCAAGTTGAGCATAAAATAGACTATAAACAATTTGTTCGTGTGTTTGACAGAATATATTCCCCATAATTGTCACTGGGTTTGATTTCTTTAGCTACCTGATGTAAAGGCGGTGAGGATCTTGTGTTGGCACGAGCTTTCAGTCGTGTCAGCAGAGCAGCACTGTAACCCTACCCGCTGTGACACCCAGAATAAACAAACCTGCAGACCTTCAGAGCTTTTCTTGAAGAACAGATGACACCACCAAGATGATCAGTACAGATTTTGTTGTCTTTCTAAAGCACTTAATGTGATCAGAGAATTAAAATTTCAACAAGTCATTTAATGATGGCAGAGCAGCAAATATTGTAACACCTAGATAAGGTTTCTTGCAGTTTCATAGTTGTCGGTGGGGCAGTTCTGGCGATACGCGTGTTCGGAGGCATTCTTCTCTAGCTTGTGTGATCAACTAAATTTATTAACAGCAATGAGGTCACTGTAATTTTCAATAAATGGTGACTTGCTGATTTATATCAGAAGATCCATACAGCAGTAAACAATACCATTTACATTTAATTAGTTTTATTGAACCAAAGGCAATTTTATTTGTAATGAACTACATGTTATGATTAAGAATGTATTTTAATGATCTTTAAGTAAGGTGAACAAATGTTGCCCTTGACCTAATAGAGGAGATTTTTCTATGTTATTGATAACTTTATGGTGAATTTTAAATTGTGAAATGCAAAAGAGAACGTTTTCATTATGGTACCATCATCAAGTCATCTCCTGACTTTTGGTGTAGAAGGATGAAATGCGTTCTTCTGAATTATTATTTTCAAGTATGAGATAATTAAATGCATGTCAAGTTTTTAAAAAAAAAATCTCATCTACTGTTGTATAAAAATAATTTAATTTTTATTGCTTGAGATTCAAGTCTTTCATGTAGTTTCTTTAATCTAGAACTGTTACAGTCCCCTTACCCAAGGTTTGGGTTTTTTTTTTTTCCTTGAGTAAGAATATAACTGAGGTCATTTGCCCTCACTGTTTCCTAAAACCAACATAATTTTAGATGTAGAATACTCTTTCCATTGAACATATCAGTAGAACTATTTGGCTTCAGTGAACCAGCAGTTCAATGCTTATAGTATGAAAATAATTCTTTACTGAAGCTGAATTTCACAAAGATCAAGTCCTTCATTCGTTAAATCATTAATAAAAAGTAGTTGTCTCTTTTTTTTTTATATATATATACACAATGAAATCCTTTGTTTAAGGTAATTTCCCTTCTCCCTGGTTTTATATAGGGGGAATCAGTGACATAACCTAACTAGGTAAATTCTTCCTGCTCAGTGAGCAGAAGTTATGTTTACATGTAGTGTTATGTACAAATATTGATGTCGTCTTGTTAAATTCACCATTGTGACTTCTTTCAAGATAGTGAGATGCGAAATGCACAGCTTCTACTACTGGGAAAGCAGCACTAGGTGAAGGAACCACTTGTACTCTTATAGTAACCTTTATTGCTGAATGCAGTTCATGTGTAATCTGTCTTCTATAACTGTATCATTCTTTGGATTTGTCTTTCTCTTGAGTTATAAAACTTCAGCTGCTGTATTTTATTGGCCTGAGAATAATGTCCATTTGGAGTACAGAGCATTGGGTTACAGAAAAAAAGTCCTTATCCCTTTTCTTTACCCTAATAATGAAAAAATACTTCAGAAAGCTACTGAGCATGTGTAATATGCTTGTATGTCTTTTCTTTCTACTAATCATGAATGAAATGCCAATCAACTACCACCCTGGATTTCTCTCAGAGCATAGTTTTTTCTTAGGTTTTTTTAGTTTTGGGAAAAAACATGTGCTTTTGGAATACTTAGCCAGTTCTATTTGTAGCATTCCAGAATAATGCCACTAATGTGTAGGGAATGTGCAGATGTCAGTTTTTCAGAAAGATAAGTGAGTTTGTTTCAGAGTTGAAACTCAAAAAAGAAAAAAAAGGAAAACATGAAAGTTTAGGTGTTAAATCAGAAATACAAAAAGAGAACTAAAACACAAGAAGAAGAGAAACCAAAGGAGTGTGGTAGAAATTTTTACATTTAAAAATGCGAAAAAGAACATTGCAGTAGAAGAAAATAGAAAGATTAGAAACCAGGAAAATATATTACTGTATAAATGCTAATATACTTAAAAAGGTGGATATTGCTGCTTCCTTTTATTCTAATGTTGCTTCCCACTAAGGCATTCTTTGAAAAGAGAGAAGTTCTTGCTTGACACATTTCACTAGCAGTTTTTATTGTGTATATGAGTATGTGTGTGGTATTAGTTTTCTGCTGTGCTATCCACTACTGAGAGACTCTTTATTTTTCTTTGCATAATAAAGCACATAATAGCCTGGATTAGCTAAATTGTAAGTGATAACAGATTGGAAAGAAGTGAATGATGAAGATATAGGACACCACATGTGTATTAGTTTCATATGAATTATTTCTCGTGAACCTGATGAAAGTAGGTTGGAAGAACAAGGATGCAATGAATGAACTTCGTGTGAAAGACTACAATAAATGGCTAACAGTTTAAGATAAAGATAATTTGTGAGAGTTAATGTTCAGATTTGATTCATCTTTTAAAAAGCATATGAAATACAGAGTCTGTCCTACCTTTTGCAAGGCATGAATTGAGAGATTTCTTCTCTGCAGAATACAAATACAAATTCATTTTTTATAGAGCTACACATTTTTAAATGGAAGTTAAGCATGTTTGATAAATGTACAACAGATTTTAAAAAATGCATTCATTTTGATCTGGAAAAGTGAAAAAAAAATTCAAAAATCTGTAACCATTTTACAGAGAAACAAAAGGATACATGTGTGTCAGATTTTAAGACATTAACACAGGTGGACCATTGCACCTTTAGTTAATTTTTGTAACGTTCAAATTATGTAATATTCAAATGTAGTTACTCTTTCTTAAATTCAAAATTATAAACAAAAAATAATGGCATGCTTTTAAAAATAGCTAGATTTGAGCCAAGGTATGGTTATACCTCCATGAAGGAGGCTGTAAAATTAATTCTGCTTTTGAAGATAGCATGAACAGGGTATTGTAGCCACGTAATCCGCTCCCCAGAGATGGTGTCTGATGAGCCTTTTGCAAGGTTCATCCAGTAATAAAGGATGGAGATAACCCAAATAGTTAGGTGCTTCATATGGTGAGAAGGTAGACACTCTTGCATTTCAGCAGAGGTTATGATTCTTAGATCTACTGGGATTTAGTGTCAAGGAGCTGCTCCTCCCCAGAGTAGAAATTGGATTGGGGATCCATGCGTGAGTGGTCTACTTGTGTTGAAGTCTCTTAGCTGCTGTTGGTGCTGACCACGTAAAAAAGCACTAAAAGGTTTGCTTTTGTGATGAAAAGAAAGTCCTTTGTATCCAGTTTTTAACAATTAGTCTGCGATATTCTATGGGAGGTGGATGTTTCAGAACAATTACCTTACGAAATAATTGTTTCAGAATTTTAAAGTGATCCTCCCTGGGCCTCTAGGGACAGCTCTTAAGATCTAATGGTCATCAGATTTTTAATTTTTTTCTTCCCCTAATTTGTACCATACTGCCATTTATTTATAGAGCCTGCTACTGTAGTATCTAAGAGTCTCCTATTCTTAGTTTTAGGGTAGGAACGTTCATGGGTTCTTTGCCATCATGAGTAGTAGTACCATGTATATCAGACCCAATTTTATCAGACTAGTTCAGCGTATCCCTGACTTTAAGCATTTGAGTAATCCTCTTGATGTATCCAGGCTTTCTTGAAGCTGATGGGTTTTTTTCTCATGGGTTGACTGCAGATGTGCTAGAGCATTTAAAGAGAACTTGAATCAATTTCATTGTTTCCTCTTGTATTCAGTTGGCTTTGTCCTTGCTGGAAAAGTATTTTGTTTTCAGTTTCATTACCCCCCCCCACCCCCCCTTTATTTTTAGAAGAACAAATATATGGAAAATATTTTAAGATTATGCTATTATAAATTGAATTGGGGCTGTCAAGACAAAATAAATTAGTTAAAATTTCTAACTCATGTTATAAATGTAAAACAGTTTAGTGTTTGAACTATCAACATTTTTAGAGCATCATCTTGGATCTGGTTCCTTTATAGTAAGATGTACTGAAAAAACAGTATGTTTCTTAGTTGGGTAAAAATTTCATGAACTTAACTTGGGGTGGGGTATTGGGGGTCATAAAGTGGAATCTTTACCACTAAAAGATTCTTCAAAATATGTGATTAAATTTAAGTGTAAATAATAGTAAGTACATTAATCTGTTTTACAGGATCTCTTTTCAATCAATGCTTATGTTTATGCTCAGAAGCCACAGCTGGATATTCACAGTTTTGAGGGTACCTTCACACGGGTAAGTGGCGTATGTAAACATAGTTCTGCTTTTCTTTTCCATTTCTCAGTGTAAGTGAAACCTATGCTTAGTGTCAAAGTTGCATCATATCTTTCCTTAGCTTTACAGCAGTATTTATTTTTTTTTTCCATGTTCCCGCCGTGGCAATACTTCATATAAAAGATATCCTGGTAAATATGTATTGCAGAAAGCTAATACAAAAAGAATACCTGAAAAAAACAGAATCCGAGAATTGGATATTTGTTGACATCACTATAATCTTTTTATGTGAAACCATTTGTATAGTAGTGTATATATTGTTTGTCTACAGGCATCTAATGTATTGTTCATATATGTCAAAAAAGTGGCAAGTTGAATATACTGAGTAGCCTGAGACAATGTAACTGCTAGTTTATGTGCAATAAAAATGTGCCTTGTTTAACAATATTTCTGTTCAAGGGAAAGCTAGTACTTCCAAAGTTCAATTATCTCAAAAAGTAAAATAAAACTAAAAGCTACTTATGGGGGCTTTATTAAATCTTTTTTTCCAGCTGTAATTATATTCAAACCCGAATACGTTAATAACGATGCAGTAATTTCTGTGACTTTTCTTCTGTTATTTTCAGAAGGTGGCCTGCTAAAGTTAACCCTTTAAAACCGGGTGTCCTAATAGGTAGTAAAAATGTTTTGGGGTTTTTTTTCAATCGCTTTACAGATTTGTAGCATTATGTTCGCATATACAGTGATTGCTTTGTTTATTTTAGCCAAACTCAGTGTTAGTAGACTCATTCCTCTTGATAGTTTGGCTCTAAAATAATTTGAGAGAATTAACTACTGTGGAGGTAGAGAGAAGGATTTTTTACCCAAGTGACTAAAATTGGTAATAGATTTTGTTCAGTAATTGGAATTCCAGTTCACAATTCTAAGTACACTGATGAATGAGATATTGCAGTTGTTGGCTCTCGAAGACCAATTTATACTAGTTATATAGTTCATGCTGCCTACAAAGTAAATGTCATTTGCCCACACCTTCTAAATCTGTAAGCAACAATGTTTACTTAAACCTTGTATTGACCAATTGTCCAAATGAAACTTCTATTCACAGCTGTAAAATTCATGTTATTCCTGTCCCAAAGGCTAAGTGTATACTTTTCTAAATATAAATTGAACTCCTCAGAGCCTTTTTAACAACTCTGGTATGTGTAATTGAGACATTGGGAAATCATCACTAAACAGTTGCTCCCTGTTGTGGGTTCTCTTTGTACATGTAATAAGAGCTGTATGATTCAAGCATCCCTGATATGTCTAAATAACCCTGCTGCATTTTATGCTTTTGGGTTTACATATGTGTTGTTTTGACTGCTTCAGTAGGACGGACAGTTTAAACTGAACTTGTGTGTGCATGCATGTGAGGGCAGTGCCCTCAGATTTGGTTCACAGTGGATCACACTGTAGATATTTTTAGAATTTTTTTTTTCTTTTTCGTTAATGATGTACCTTCTGTGTGGTGAAATGTTGTTTTAGAACACTTGTTTACTGATTTATCTTTCTACTTCTGCTGTGAGCCCTTGCTTCTTACACTAAATCAGTTTTTGCATCTAATTTCTATTTTATGTTAAAGTAAGAAAAAAAAATAGTGTGCTTAGTGATGCTAATGCATACATTTTTCCTACTTAAGCATTGATGTTCAAAGAATTCCTGCAAGGGTAGGTTGACAGGGTAATAGCACATTGATTTTTCTTTTCTTTTTTTTCCCCCCATTATGAAGACAGAGTACTAACAATGTAGAAGACAAACTTAGATAATTTCAAAAAGTGCATGACCATGAAACAAAACAGAAACTCAGGTGCACAGCTCTGGAGTTTTTATGAGGGAACAACTTCTCTTAAGTACTTCTATGTGAGAAATATATCCACAGCAAACCTGATAGCTGACAGAAGATACCTTAACCTCCATAACCACGTCAGGAGGAGTTAAAGCTCTGCTGTGCTCTATTGATGTCTGCCAGCTTCACATGAAGTCACTCTCCGTTGTCCTCCATGGATTTTGGTGCATTATATGCAGTGTGTGTCCTTGCATGGGCATGCACGAAGGATCATGCCTGGCCCTTAAATAATGGCATAAATTAATTCCTCTCCTCCTCGCCCTTCTTCTGGACATCCTACCAGGAAACAATATATGAGCTAAAGTAGTGTTCTGTGAAAATGAGTGAGATTGTTTTATTTCTTCTCAGGGCATCAGCCATGTCTTGGCTGAGCTTGTTTTGAAATAGTGACACACAGAACAGGGATTTACATGGACGTAACTATTAGAGTTTCTCTTCTGTCTGATGCTCTTATGTAGATAAATTAGGAAGCTATTTCATCAGTTCTGAAAAAAAACACGAGAACAACACAGGTCTGTAGAAAGAGAATAAAAGGTAGCCATAGTTCTTAACCCAACTTTTACCAGCTGGAGCCCAAAGAGTACTCTAGAGCGTTACATCAGTGTGTACTGGCATGACCAGTATTATTTAGCCTTTGCTTACAGCTTCTGTGCAGAACCATGGAAATCCTTTCTTCTGCTTTTGATCTTGGCTGTTTTTTGTTTAAATTTGGATCCTTCTTCCACCATTCCCTTAAGAATCTTTTCCTTTAATTTCTCCTATATTGCAGCTCATTGGTGTCACCTCAGTCTCTTCATTTACTTTCGGAATATACCTAAATCTTATTTTATTTATTCCAGTAGAAATCTCAGAGAACTGTTTCCTTTGAGTTTAGTTCATCTGCTGAACTAATCATAAACTTTTTTTTTCCTGTGATACAGAACTACTTGGCATCATGTTTTCCAATATAGCACCTTGTCAGATGTATTAAAAAACCTACCTTGATGCAAAACCTGTTGCATGTAGCTGTTGGTACTTTGGAAAAAACACATATTGAGATGTGAGCATTGAAAATTGTGTATGCATTTATGAGTAGGATCTCTAGCCTGGGGCTAATTTTACAGATGTGTTCTTGGATAAGTCTTGTATTTTAGTAGAGAGAATGTTGGGTAATTTTTTTTTACTTCATATTTGCTGTTGGAGAATTCCTCTTGAAGCAATGGTTGTGTTCACTTCAATCTGACTTAATTTTATGTTGCCACTGAAGGGAATGGTATTATGTTTTGTAACTCCTTTTTACTCACCTTCCTTGGGCAGGCACTAACAGCCAGACAGACATCCAGACTAGGGAGCTAATGTGTGCAGAACCTAATCGGACCCTGTCTAAAATACATATACCAGTAAAGGGAACATAGCAAGGATACTTAACTGTAGGATTGGGGTAGGGAAGGAATCTCTTTCAGTGATGCAACTAAACTAATGAATATTATTCTACTTTTCTACAAAAGTTGGTGGGGGTTGTTGTGCTGCATCCTGTCGGGTAGTAATAGGGCTAGAAAAGGTCAAATGGAAGTGGTATACTGGTTCATTCAAGGATTAGGTATTTAGTCTCAAAGGGCTCTGTCATTATCTGAAAAAATTTCTAATAAATTGTAGCTTTGAAACCTTTTAAATGGCTACTTGAAAATTGTCATGATCCTTGGTCAGGTCTATTATGAATTCAGGACTGAGAGTAGGATATATTCAATTTTTATTTCACTGCTCATCTGTTCCTTTTTCTCTGCACATGCAAGAGCTACAGACTAATTTCCTAGAATAGGAACTGTAGAGAAATTAAACTGCTATGATCAATACTGCACGTGACTTCAAAAACTGAGCCTGAATATGAAGCTTGAATGCAATACTGAACTGCGCTATTCTGGTAATGAACTTAATTCAGAATTTAAAGACCAATAAACATACAGCTGCCAAATGAAATTCAACCCAGCAGACCTTAAGTGGAAACTTCGTCAACTGGACAAAGAAGCCCTTGTATGTCAAATATCTGCTACTGGAGTGAGTGATGGTTTTCATTTACCCAAAAACATATATTGTTCTGTTAGCTGTAGTAGCATCAGAAAATTTGCAGAACCATTTCTCCTTATGACAGACCCGGTCTTGTTCAGGAATTGGAGTCTTGTCCCTTCCCTACTTCACCTATCTCTACCATCTCTCCAAAAGCACAAATAAAAATAATGTGAAACAGCTAAACTCGTAACCCGTAAATAGACTTTTTATTTTTCATTTGAGTAACTTATGACAAATGAAAAATAACTTTAAGGCATCATCTGTTTGGCTATGGAAGGTGTGGTATTTGGTAAACTGAATGAACTGTAGAAAGGTGGAAATGTTAGATGAGGGCATAAAGCCATCAAAGGATCATAATGAAATAAGCAGAAGCTAACTGATCAGCCAAACCATTCTGTTGATGAGCATGGCATGACTGGAAGGAGATATAGCTCATTAGATGTTTTCCTATTTTGAATGACCTAAAAGGAGGCATTTCACTTAAGTCTTGCAGCAGGTAGACATTGGACAAGTGACTTTTCCTGGGTGTGTTATCAGCTCTCCGTAATCACTGCAGGGCTTTCAATTTCTTGTAGTATGGAAGAGTTTCATAATTCACTGTCTTAAAATCTGCTAACTGAAGAATAAACTAAGGCAGAAAAAAAGACTTTCCTAGCTTTGAATCCTATTCCTGACAATAGCCAGAAGCAGACTGCTGGGAAAGAGAATAAGACTAGAGTAAGATGGTAATGCCTCCTCGGAATATTATTCTGTCTCTTAACAACTCGTGATGTGAGACTTCCTGAGTCAGAGCTGGTTTCTGTGACCTGCAATGAATTTTCCTTCTTTAAACCTCCCTAGTCCCCCCTTGAACATATGTAACCTTTTAGTGTTCAGCTAGGAAGGAGTTGTACAGGATAATTATATATTTTTATGAATATATGAACAGCAATTGCCTGTTGTTTTAGTTTTGCTGGCTTTATTTATGACTTCTTCTTTGATAAGAGACAGCAGTACCTATCCTCCCTTTCTAGGTGCCCATTTCATGGATGCCTGTCATGTTCCTCATTAGAGTTCAGGTTTATTTAGTCATATCTAGTATGGAAGCTACATTGACCACCCTTGTTGCCCTTCTTGAACATTTTCCATTTCTTTTTATTTTTTGTTTGGAATAAGGGGAGGGGAGGAGGGATTTCGAACTACTACTTAAGACTTGAGAAAACCATGGATTTCTTTGTAGTAGCATGATTTGTTGTTGTTGTTCTTTTTTTTTCTCTCCTAGTAATTCTAAGAATTTAGCTTGTTCTTGACTATTAAGATAGTGTTTTGGTAGATTTGTAATAATCCTAGAATTTGTTTTCCAAGTAGTCATGACAATTTCTGAGTAGTTACGAGTTCTGAGTAGTTTTGATCAGCTCAGACATCATCACTTTGTGAAGTTGGGACGTTTTCTTCCTTTGTGTGCATTGCTTTACATTCCACTGTACGGAACTTCACCTGTCCACTTTTTTGTAGGATATATTAACCTACAATATTACCCCACTATTAAATCATAGGTGTTTTTTCTATAGCTATTTTGTTCTGAGCTCTGACTTTAGTCTTATCTAAAGTTACAATTACAAAGGTGTGCAAAGCTATAGCAGCGAACATGTCTTTGAATTCTCCAGCTTTTCTGTATCTCTAATTCTGTACATTAATTCTGTGCTAATGGCTAATTAAAATACAATGCTCCTGTCAAAATTCAAATTCTGTCTTCATGCTGGAATTCAACATAATGCAAAAATGATTGCTTCAGTATGATTGCAGTTTTAGTAAGTGGTAGGTGGCAAATTATCTTTTTCAGTGTTTGAGGGGAGCTATTTGGAGTCCCGCTGTGGACAACAGGTATTCTGTATGGAACTTCTGAGGGCAAAATGCGAAAACTTTTTCATTTATTGATACTAAACTCATCGCAGGTATAGTATTTACATTTGTGTCCTATCACTCTATGTTCATGATTGTAAAAGACTGACCCATTCATTTCCATGAAGTTGTACTGTTTGACTGAAATAGAGGATCTTTGTGGTCAGCTCTCTGTTAGCATGCATCATTCTATTATATGCCTGCTGGGGGTCTTTTGAAATACACACAAAAATGTATCTGTTCAGTCTGAGATTTTTCTTTTTTAGGAAAAGAGATTTCTAAGCAGCTCGTCCTGTACTTGCTGGTTGTTTCAAAATAAAGATGAAAAATGGACGTAGGTTTTGATTATTGATGTTATGTATAATTTATTGTGTACTTTGGTAAATCAGTGGTCCCCCTTTTCCTGCAAAACGTTTAGCACAATCTGTAATTTGATCAAATACGCTTGATTATCCTACGTCCTAAAGTTTCCTTTAGTTGTAAACAGCACATTTCACAGCTGCTAATGAGTAACAAATCTGTACATGCTCCAAATTGATTATGAGAGATTAAGTCTGTTTACAATCTGTGGACCATTATTGCTTGGGAGGAGAGAAGGGAGAAAAAAAGGAAAGTTTAAAATAATCATGGAAGTAATTTCCTATTGGAAGTATTTTTCCATTGGATGTGTATTTTGTAAGTATGTGGTAAGACAACACAAGTGTGCATTTCTTTTTGAAAGTCTAAATATTCTTCCCTGAAGTTGATATGATGTCACTTGGGTTGCAAAGTGATAATGACCATAACTTACTGTATGAAATACAGATGCTTTAGATTGTCAGAGAGAATGGAGTATTCATTTTTGGTGGTTAGTGTTCATAACTCACTTTAACTGCTTGGTATAGCAAACTGTTCTGCAGTTAGATTTATCTAAAGAAAAGAATATGTTCCTTTTAAAACACTATTGACTTTAGTTCTTTGAATATAATTGGGTTTAAGTAATATGAACTTCAATCAGTATTTCACTTCTTGGAAAGTTATTTTTTTGTGTGTATACAGACAAAGAAGGTATGTGCAATGAATACTATTATACAGTGATTGATACAATGATGCAGACATCCTGTGCAAGTTATTCTTATTCAGATGGTTTGGCATTGTTCTCAACTATCTCTATTTGTGATGTTGATGTAATTATTAGCTGTTCATATTTTTCACAGGAAGACAGTGATCCAGCAGTTCATGAAAGCCTAAGCATTGAAAATACTTTATGGGCAAGCACTGTTGTTGCTTCAGGTAAGTGTTGCAGCAGCAAAGCTAGTAAGGTATCTAAAAACTTCTGTGGAAGTGTATCTTTATTTTTGCTGTGTGAAATATTAATGGCTTTTGAAAATTTTTGGTTTGCAGACTATTAATCTCTTGCCCCTCTGTTGTCTGCCTTCCCATCGGTTTCATCATGCTACTCATGATATTTTCATACCTTTTTTAATCCTCCTGAATAGGTTTTTTTTTTTACTTAAATTTTGCTGTTTCAGTAGTGCTGTCCCTTGTACTCCACTAAAGTCACTGACCTTTTTGTTTTAATTAAAACTTAAGGTTGTGAAGTGCTCTGTTCAGCTCACTGTGGATAGGGTCTTGCTGAAAAGCAAGGGTGGTTTTGCATTTGTTAGGGGTCTTCTTTTATGTATACTGCATGCTGCAGGTAAAGTTGGTTAAAATCTTTTATCGGACAAAATCTTAATCAGAAAGTATAGATCAGTTATACAGTTATGTAACTTTAAAATAATGGGTTCTAAATATTAGTAATGTTTCATATGTGTTCCAGATATTATAAGGAGTTCACGTTGCCTAGATGCTGTATTCAGGCTTTAAGCCATTGTAAGTTTTCTTTAAGAGCAGAAAATTATTTTCTCCCATTTTTGCTGTATGTAAGAAAAGTCAAAAGGACTATAGAAGAAAAGGCTGTGGTTATTCTGCACAAAAAGACTGAGAATAAGGAATCAGGAGAGCGTGATTTCTGAAAAGGAGCTAGGATTTAAGATAGGGAATTGGAACAACTGGAAACATGAGCCAAGAGGAGGAGGGCTATGGAGGGAGGGGAAGAAAGTAAAAAAGTCTCCACCTAACTTGTAAAGTTACTCCCTACTATGAAGGCTTCTTAGATCAGTGAGGGGCCTGCTGGAGGGCTGTGGTTGTGTTTCCACACCTGCATCTTACTTCAGTCTCCTTACTGTCTAGGCTCACAGTTCTGTTACATGCAGGTATTTTTCACTCAAAAGTATTCGGTATCTATGTGCAAGCCTAATCCTCTATTACTTTGCCACTTTGATTCAAGAATGTGGGTGTGTAGCCTGTACGGAGATGGTAGGGGGTAGAGTTCTGCCCGGCAACATTTCTTCATTTACCTTAAGGCTCTTCAGTATGGCAGTCTTTAAGGCATCCTAGATGGGAAGGCTGCTTCCTCCAGTGCTCTTCAAGCAGCCTGGACATGATCTGTTACAAAGCCAAGCATTGCTCTTGGAGTTATGCTATATGCCCTTGCCAAGCCCTTGGAGGTTGTTACAAAGCATTCTGGGTCAACCTGTGCTATTCTTTTGACCTATTACTGACTGATGCTATCAGTCTCAGGGGTGGAGACAGGATGCTGCATCACTGATGCCCAGGAAAGGAATATGTAGCTGAGTTGCAGATACAAAGCCTTAATTCTAAAAAAGGTTTTGCAAAGGACATACAGGGCAATTGTTGGGCGAGGGGGTTTTCCTTCCCATTTTCCTCCCTCCAGTGATTAAATATGTGCTGAATTTCCTGATACTTCCTTTGATGTATTCCACAAAACACATTGCATCAGCTAGGAGAGCCCACTATCTCCAAGACGCATGCCGTTGCTATTTGTCAAAGTGATACAGAGGGTCAAGGTCAGGCTAGGGAAAGTGTTTGGGGAATTATGTGGGGAATACCTCAGAAAACTTGAGCTCTGGTTGCTGATGTCCTGACAGTTCTAGAGGAGAGAGACCACAAATCAATCATCTTGCAGATCAGTAACAGTAAATGTAAGCGTATAAAGGTTTCAAGGAATCTTATCAACTACGTGTTGAATGCAGATTACCAAAGGTCATGAAAATAGGAGGATACTGCAATAATGGATTCTACAGGGGAAAAAAAAATGCCTATTCTAGAGCAGTACAAGTGATAAGAAATATATTTGCTATAATTTAAGACTATTTTTATTTTCTTTTTGAATTTTGGAACCAAAACATTTGTTCAGCAAAATCATGTGTCAAACAACTCAAGAATAAACTATTCCACAGCCTTTTTATATCAACAGGTAAAGTTCAGGAGAGTGAGATTCCTAAAATTTGTACATTTGGAAGGTGTTTACTTTCTTTGGTTTCAGTATGTCTCCTTACCCCTTAGAATAACAGTAAGCTAAATGGAGAAAAAAAAAACCAAAACAAACAAACAAACAAAAACCCCAACATTTTTCTCACACTTAATATGTATTATAGCCAGATGTTCTAGTCTCAGAATTGATAGCTTAGATAGCTAAATGGAGATTCCTACTGCTACGAAATCTGAAGTGCTTTCTGCCCCTTGCTGTAAAGCCCTGACAAAGACCTGGTGACTGTGTGTATGATGTTTATCCTAACCACAGAAAGTACAAAGACTAATTTGCCAGGATCACACTGGAAGCCTCTGGCAGGGGTAGAAATCAAAAGCCCCTCTCTCAAGCCCAAAGCATGCAGCCATCCTTTTCTTTTTCTTTAATAAGTGAGATAGGAAAAAATATTCTGACTTTTTCCACTTACAGGCAACATCTCAGTGAATTTCAGAAAGGTAGCAGCAAGGTACAGAGTTTATGTGCCATTCTTTGTATCTATATTATTGCTGTGGAATTAATAATAGTGCCTCAAGGAGAGGAAGCTTTGGTTGGTGAAAACTTGAAAAACTGCTATCACTGAAGAAACAACTTTAAATATAACCAAATAATTTAAACCGCTAAGTATTTTGAAAACCTCTTAGGTTATCTTTATGTGACTTGTCTTTTAGCTCACTTGTGTTCGTGACATCACCGACTGCAGTGTTTGTGTTTATTAAAAGCTTTGGTAGATTTCTGTTCAGAAAGAGAGAGAGGAAAGTCAGTGGTTAAATTTTAAAAAGCCTCGAAAGGCCCACTGCAGTATGGACTTTAACTTTTTGCTCTCCATTTACTGTAATGATCAGTGTGGTTCAAACTCTAAACAAGATAATGCAGTACTCTGAGAGACCTGCTGAGATACCTATTAAGAGGAAGTTTGTATTAAAGGAATTTTGTGATCATTTTGGCAGGTGTCAGTCTTGCAAAGTCACTTTAGGTAAAATCAGAACAATTTGTATAACTGCACAGCTGTAAAAAGCACTATTTTGTGCCAAGTCCTATACACGATTTTAATTGATTTGAGCACTCTCTTGTATTTATATGGTTCACATAGTGCTTGGGAGATACCAAAAATTTATATGATCACACACTGGATTCAGAGTATGCCTGACTGTGTTGATTCTGCACAAGTCCTCTTTATATCTCTTTTTATCCTGTTGTTAGTCCTCTTATTATCTCTTTTCCAGGCCCACATGTTTATTCTAGTGGTATCTCCTGTAATTTCTCTCTCCTTCGTTAACCACTCTGCCCTTCCCAATCAGTGGTTGCCCAGTTTACATGAGAGCCAGTTTGCATAGATGCCCCTACATAAAATTACTTGAGTCATTGCTTTTAATAAGCCCAGCCTTGTAGTACAGCTATGCTTCCAGGAACCCCAAATAGGATTCAGTTCTTTCTACTGTGGGCCGGGGTGGCGTTTAGTGCAAGTATGCATCTTTCTTCACAGCTGGTATTAAGCTTAGATTTGCTGAGGATAGTGAGAGAGAGAGAATAGTGGGTAAAAAAACCCAGAACTGTCCCTGGTGCAACCACTGTGGCATAACACTAAAATTAGGCTACACTGATGTAATTGAGGTCTAAGGAACCCTAGATTTACCAGTGATGTTGTGCTAGTAACTAACAGCCCCCGAAGTTTCAAATCAAAGATCAATGCCTAAATAAAAGCAGTAGCTCAGTCAGATTTAGACGAAATTATGATCAAGATTCAGTAGTCAAAATGGATTTTATCTGACTTTCACCTTTGAAACCAACTTTTCAAAGAACAAAATATGAGACAAGTAGGACAGCTTGTTTTCCTGAGCTGCAGCAGCCTAGCCAGGTGAAACTTAGTGGAAAGGTGCCAGCTGGAATGGAGAAGTCCTCCCCAGGTTTTACGGAACGAAGGAGCGACAAAGGCAGAGATTGGTAGGGTGTGCAGTTGGGGATTCCCTACGGGATATTGTCCAGTGTGTTCTGACCACTGAACAGAGATCAGCTCAGAGGATCACTCCAAAATGTGTTCCAAAGGGATACGGGCATTGGTTGGAGACCAGTAGAAAGAGTTCAGAAATTATGGATCAATAACTATTGTCTTACAAAAGCTGGGAGGAATTTGGGTTGTGCTGGGGGCATGTTACCTATATACTAAGGTGCAGATTTGCATGTGGAACTCTCAGCAGAGCCAAACTAGCTTTGGTGAAAATGTTATGTCAAGGGAAGTCTATAGAAAAAGCTTTAATGTGGAGAGGAAAATAATAGAAAAACTGATTTTTAATTGTCCAGAAGATGTAATGTGTAATCACTGACGTTTTATATGTGGATTCAAAGTTTTCACTTGCATTCTCATTTTCTAGTAAATGAAACTTCCTTTCTTTAATGCCAACATATTTAGCTGTCATCTTTTTTCATCATGTATTCCTTCAATTTTTTACAACATATTACGCTGCAAGAGTAGTAATAGCAGATCTTGCACGTCTTCCTGATTGCCAAAGACAAATTAAGTCACTTAATGTCAGACAAATGTGTAATACTTCTACAGTTTTTGAAGTTTTCTGAGCAGGGTGTTTCTGACAAGTTATGTTAATTAGTTCTTTATAGCATAAAGACAACAAAAATATCACATTATTGGTTGTGCTGCCATAAAGGCTGTTTCAGGTCACTTGAAAAAGTACTAGAAATAAGGGGTTTGTTTTTGCTAGAAAGTGTGATAGTGGCATATTAATAAAAACCTAAATATTTATTTAATATAAAAATTTATTTAGTGATGCCAAAGCCAAGTTTTCCTATACCATCCAGCACAAATTGACTAAAAGATAATTGGAACTGGGGAATCATTTTTATAAGTTAATGAACAGGAGAATATTTTTCTATGGGATTCTATCAAAGAAATCAATTGGGTGAACTAGATTTTACATCATTATAGATGACAGAGATAGTGGGCAATTTGTGTATGCTGTGTTCAGCACCATTGTACTCATTCTTGTTTTCCTTGTGAAGGGCAGTTTTTATGCTGTGTTAACTTCTGAAAACAGCTGGAGACAATTTTAAGTTCAAATATAAGTTTTTAACCAGTTACATTTGAAAGTTTTGCTTCCATTAAGAAGGAGGAAAGCATGTTGTCAGTTTTATTGATGTTAATTAAAGAAGTTATAATGATCCTTCATAAAGAATTCTGAAAAACAGCATTCACAATACTGTGCACATTGCATAAATGTTTGGGCTTTTTCATACAATTGATTTGTTTGAGGGTCTGTAAATTACTGCAAGTTTTAATTCAGACAGACTTTCTCTTAACTGATTGACACCTCTTTTACTTTTTGTTTGTTTGTTTTTCAGGAACTGTAATTGGTGTTGTCATTTACACAGGCAAGGAAACTCGAAGTGTAATGAACACGTCCAATCCAAAAAATAAGGTAGGTTAGCCTTACTGTGGGATTTCCTACTTTTGTTTTCATAAAACTTAAAACCAGATATATCTAAAACTGAAAATCTACAAGCTCTTACTCTGATGTATTTCGTGTGTGCTAGACTGACTTGAACTTTGGTATGAGAAGTGAATTCTGCCTCAGTCTCATTTCGGAAGTAAAATTGTTCTTCCTTTACCTAGGAGTGTTACAGGTACTAATGGAAACATTTGTCTTTGAAGTAAAAATGCGCATCTTCAGACTTTTATACTTCTATCTCACAGCTAAATATGAATTCCCACTTCTCAGATTATTCTACTGTAAAGTATTTGGCCAAAGTTACACAGTAGTTTTAAAGAATGTTTATAACAGACTACTAAAATTTATTCGGGCTCCCAGAGGCAGTAGAGCAAGATAACTGAGGTTCCAGTCAGTAAACAGAACGTTCTTCCAGTGATTTTTGTAAGCAATGAAAACATTGTCAAGAGATTTGTCTGTTGAGAAGTTATCAGAAGTTTGGGTGCTTCCCTCTCGACAAGGTCTTTCAGTTCAAAACAAAGCAAATAGCTCTTCATTTCATCAGTAATGTTTCTAACATGAGTTCCAGAGGGCCCTCAGTTATAGAGAAATGAAACTTTAGTTGTAGGCTGTATCTTACAACCTAGACCTGTGTTTAGTAAGAAGATAATTATATTAAGAAAGGAAAAAATTCTTGCAAGAGGAAGAGATTTAGAAAAAAATCAATTGTGACAGGTTGCTATTTTCACGCCATTCATAATAAGTTGCTCTGCGTAGGAACATCAAGAATGAAATGATAATACAAATTGCTTGAAGCAGTTATTGCAGTCCCCTGAGTGTATTGATTTGTGTTTCTAATAAAGAGATGCTTTTAAATGTCTCATTGACAGAGACAGGTGATATGCACCAGTACGTGGCTTAAGATGGCCTTTTATTATTTTAATTTTTGTAACATACATTTTAAAATAATAGAGTAAAATGGAACCAGAATGTTTATTCCATTTAGATGGAATCTTCTCTTCCATCTGATACAAAGATGAGCCCTTTAGTAACAGAATCTTTCTCTAAGAATTCTGAACAACTTCTGACTAATAAATAACTCTCACAGGTGTTTAAAATGAAATTATTTAATATAGTAAATTGTTAGGGGAGTATGCATAAATGTAACACGCTTTTCCCAAATTCAACAGATTCTGGAGGTGTATTATTTTTAGTAAAGGTTTGTTAAATTTTTTTTTTGCGTGAATATTTCACACAGAAGACTATGGTAAAGGGTAAAAGGATTGTTTAAAACTTCCCTGATGTTTTCAAAATGACTATTAATATTGAAATAGTTGCTCCAAATTTTCGCCAGCAAAAGATCAAGTAGCAGATAAACCTACAAAAAAGAGATCCAGCAGCATGTTGACAAGCTGCAGCGTGTTTTTTGCTATTATGACAATACATGTACCACCTTTGCTTGCATAATACTTTAATGTTACAGCTGCTAACAATTAAGACCTGTGTTCTTTCATCTGCAGTGGGAATCTAAGTAAACTTCCAATTTTCGTGAAGCACCAAGCAGCAAATTACTACATGTACTCATGCACACACACAAACTAACAGAGCCAAATGCTCATAATATTATCTGGCATATATTGCACTATCAGTATATGAACACTATCTAAAATAATTAGCTTAGGAACAACTCAGGGGAGGTTTAGACTGGACATTACGAAGCGTTTCTTTACCGAGAGGGTGCCCAGACCCTGGAACAGACTTGCTAGAGAGGTGGTCGATGCCCCATGCTAGTCATTGTTGAAGAGGCATCTTGGCAATGCCCTTAATAACACGCCTTAACTTTTGGTCAGCCCTGAAGTGGTCAGGCAGTTGGACTTAATCATTGTTGTAGGTCCCTTCCAACAGAAACAGTCTATTCTGTTCTATTCTAATTAGAAATTGTGCTTTTAAATAGCATTTTATCTGCCACTGATAAAACAGGTGATGCTTGTATAACTAAACTGTGCTCATTAGTTGTCCAAAGGCTTTTCAAGGAGTTACTGACCTATTAAGTTGCTCAGTATTCTAAATATGTATATTCATTTGTTCCTCGGAGGTAGTACTTAGTTCTTTGTGCCATAGTTAGCTGATAGGAATCTACTAAATGTGCAGAATGAGGCTTAATATAGTATATGTAAAATTACCTGCTCTAAATGTCTCTGCCTTGGTAGTTGCTCTATAGAATATTTCAAAAATTTAAAAATTAATCTTACACTGAGCAGGCGAAGACTTTCTCTAGAGCGTTTTCTAAACCAACTGCATCAACTCTGCATCAACTGTCTTTGAAATTATTCTGTAAATGTGTGAATGAGTCTTGTGTGTACCAGTTGCTCAAGAGTGATATTGGCATGGGTTTTTTTCTCTCTATGGACTGAACATTCTTGTTTAAAGCAGTAGCCAACAAGTAACGTGACCAGTAAGGATGGATTTGGGAACTGAAAACAGAAAAACTTAAGGCTATCACAGATGAGTAAATGATAAAATGCAGTACTTCAGTGTAAAAAAATTAGTTGATCATTTTTTAACATGTTTACTCCACAGAAAGATAGAGTTAAAACTACATCTTGCTCTATCTTCTACCATGGGGTGAGACTGGTTTGCATCCTTCTGTAAGATAAGACACTTACTGCCCGTAGGTGATATTCTGTACTAGTTAGCCTTGCAGCCGGTAGACGAGTTCATTCTTCTGTATATTTGGGAGGGGCAATCCTCCTCTGTTTTCTCAAGCGTGACAATAATGATTACATGTTGGATAGGGTATGTAGCATTAGAAGCCAAAAGGAGGGCAAAGGGAGTCTAAAATAGTCTTTGAGATTAGAAGATATGTCACAGTTGAGAGATTAAAGATTCAAACATTAAAAAAAAAAAAATCTGCACCTACCTGCTGAAACAAAATTGAAATTAAGTTGATCAATTGTGAAATTGCTGTAGACTCGAGAGGAAATAAGTCTGCCCCCTCTTCTGCTTTAGAACAGAACTGTTCCAAATACTATTTGGAACTGGTTTTAAATGGCAGACTGTCTCTCTCTGCTGCTCTTTGAAAACAAATAGAAATAATATTCCAGAGATTTTCCTGTAGACTGTGTTGATATGCTCTTGTTGGGAATATAGTTCACTGATGCTCGTGTCTTCTGGCTTTGGGAGAAAGCAAACACTGAGATCTAGGATTCTCAATTTACATTGCCAAACTGAAACTTCTATGTCCATAAATAAGCAAGGAATACATGGGCTTGACTCTTTTATCATTCCTCTCTTCATTGAAATACAGAGAGATGCTTCAGTTGTATTTCTTGCTGGAGTATAATATTACTGCTGTACTTTGTACTATAAACTGGGTTTTTCTAATGGAAAATTTTTAGTTTTCCTGCTTAAGGGTAGATACTTTTTGACTAAACCAATATTAAAATTCAGAGGTGCAGACCTGCTCTATAAACACTGAGCAGAAGACTAAAACTGAAATAAGTTTAAGCAAACTTACATGTGAAAAATTGTGAAATGTATGTACCTGTTCAAGCATGTGGTTTATCTGTATGTTAAACTTAGAAGGATTTATTGTGTTTGCTGAAGTATTTAGTCATTCAAGCAACAATTTTCTTAACTTAAAGTCAACACTTTGTTGTTTTATTACAATTATAAAAATTGTTTCATTGCCTAAGGATGCAGACACGGTCTGAAAAACACAAAGATAGAGAGAAGAGAATTTTCTTAATGGATCAATTCAATATGCTTTTAATTCCAAACAATATAAAGAAAAATTATTTCTGACAAGGTTTAATTTCAGTCTAAAATGATATATGTTCTGTGCTTTAGATAAATGTAGAAATGGTAACATCAACATTATTATAGTGTAATGACTCTCTGCATTTTACCTCATTGGCAGTCACATCAGCTTACTCAGGAATGCAGTTCCAGCCTTTAAAAAAAAAAAAAAAAAAAAATCAGATTGAATTGTGCTCTTCACAATGCTGTAATCAGTAATCAATCCTATTTGGATAGATATTCTTAAACCTTGGCTTTCTGGATGAAGTTGGACTTGTCAGTACTAAAGGTCATTTATAGGTGTTAATTAACCAAGAGGGAAATTAACAAACTGAGATTATTTATTTATTTTGTCTGGCATTTTGCAGTGTTCTCATTCTTACCTATTTAAAGTACAGAATAGTTTTTTGTTGTCTAAATTTAGAATTGCTTTTGCAGTTTTTGTCTTAATAAAAAGTAAGATTGGTAGCACAGCCCTTCTGCATATGTGACCTGTTTCCATCAGTGGCAACAGATTTTGAGGTTAAAGTTAAAGAAACACAATATACTTGGAGGGAGACAGAAATAAATTTGAGGGAATGTATTCTGTGAACTAAGACCGAAACATTAAAATTATTTGGACTGTGCAATATATATATACACTCAGAATGTACACAGTAATGCATCAAAATGAGTAGAAATTATCTTAAATAGAACTCCTAAGAAATCAGTAGCCTCTGTAAAGGAGCTACAGCATGTAATCTGCCTATTGTGCTTCAGATCAGTACAAAAATAGTTTTTATGTTGCTAATCCTTACAAGCAGCATTCAAAACACTTTTTTTTTTTTGCTTTATATTATGGAATTCTACATCTGTTATGTTTTAACATCAGAAGTAAAACTTCATAGTAACCATTCAGTGTTCATCAAAACAGTAATATTGTTTTTTTCCCTAATTCTTAACTAGCCTGAAAGCTAAATACTACATGTCTTGTGGTTGGTGCTTTGCTGATTTTGTAAGTGTTGTTTGTTTGGTGGTTTTTTTTAAACAAATGAAAATTTAAGAACTGGTATTGTTTTTCCTTTTTTGTGTGTGTGTTGCCCTTGGTAATTTGAAAATGGCCTTACTGGTGAGCCTTGAAGTAATAAAAAATATTTCTATTTTGGTAAACTGAGGCAAAATCAATTCTCCACTCCCTCACCCCAAACTTCTCT